ATGATTGATTTTTGTTTAAGGTATGTTGGTAAATGATTGATTTTGTTTAAAGTATGCTGGTAAATGATTGATTTTGTTTAAAGTATGCTGGTAAATGATTGATTTTGTTTAAGGTATGCTGGCAAATGATTGATTTTTGTTTAAAGTATGCTGGTAAATGATTGATTTTTGTTTAAGTTATGTTGGTAAATGATTGATTTTTGTTTAAGGTATGTTGGTAAATGATTGATTTTTGTTTAAAGTATGCTGGTAAATGATTGATTTTTGTTTGAGGTATGCTGGCAAATGATTGATTTTTGTTTAAGATATACTAGTAAATGATTGATTCTTGTTTAAGGCATGCTGGTAAATGACTTTTTGTATTGCCTGACTTCCAGAAGTTTGATCTTAGCTTACTCAAAAATCGTTTTGCTACATTCGACTCATTAGTAGCTTCTTAGACTCAACGTTGCAAAAAAAAATAGCGATCACACAGATGGCGTGCAACAAAGTCAACTTTCAGGGGTTTCGGTTACTCTGGTTCGTGCGTTTATAGACGTTCTTAAAACATATAAATGTAGGATAGTGAGTCACATAATTAATCTTAGAACGGGCACTGTTGTTTGAAAGAGCACAAAAGTAATTTCTCAATGTGGTAATATTGCATATACCAAAAACGTTCTATTATTTTGCTTTAAGTCTTACACAGATGCATTCTCGTGTCTGAAAAGATGTTTGTCGTCGTATTGGTTCATCTGTCATTCGGTAGTATCACATACAATCTGGTTGGCTCATCCTCTTTAAAGCAAAACGTGACATTTCTAGGACCGCCCTTCAGCTACAGCTGTCACTGGGCTATCTAGAAACGACATCATTCTAACCAGGTTTTATTCCAAGCGGTACCGAGTGACACCTTACTCAAAGGAAAGTTGCGTTTTTGGAATATTTAGGCAGCGTATCCAAGCTCTACAGTCTTGCTGCGTTAACAATATAACTTCATGTGGTTGGAATAATCTAGTGTCGCTTTCCCCCCGTTTCGGATCGTCCATGATGTAGCTCTGTGTTTCGTTCGGAGTATTTAATCGTTAAGATTAGCATTCGCCTTTATAAGTTCGGTTTGTTTGTGTAACAGTGCACTTTAATTATCATATTTACGTTTTGTGGTATTTGCTCAAAATTTACCGTCTGTTTCGACCTTCATTTACTGGTGTGTCACTCCTCACAAACAAGATTGCCGAATTATAGACCGCAACGGCATTGTTGAAGCTCAGATGAATTCACTGAAATGTTACAAAACCGATCTACTACTACTGATTTACAAAACTTTATTATTGGATTTAACACCGGTATCCAGTTAGAGATAGTGAAGTATTGTATTTACTACCGACATCCAGTTAGTGATAGTGAAGTATTGTATTTACTACCGGTATCCAGTTAGGGATAGTGAAGTATTGTATTTACTACCGGTATCCAGTTAGGGATAGTGAAGTATTGTATTTACTACTGGTATCCAGTTAGGGATAGTGAAGTATTGTATTTACTACCGGCATCCAGTTAGAGATAGTGAATTATTGGATTTACCACCGGTATCCAGTTAGAGATAGTGAATTATTGGATTTAACAATACTTCACTATCCCTAACTGGATACCGGTAGGTTGGATTCGCCGTTGTAATCCTTTTGGGATTTGTAAAGCTTTACAATTGGATTTATTACCGGGATACTTTTGGAGTTGGTAAAACTTTACTTCTGGGTTGACTACCAGCATCCACATTACTGAAGTTGTAACTGTTGAAACCACTACCAGTTAGGGTTGGAATTCTTCAAGTGTTATAACTTAGTCCTTCTACCAGCGCCAAGTTGAAGTTACTGAAGCATTAATATATATGATTTGCTACTTGCATCAATTTGGGGTTATTGAAGCTTTACAAGTTGGTCCATTGGCGACATCCAGACAGTTGGAGTTACTGAATCTACTAACAACATATAATTAGAGTTGCTGGATCTTTATTGATGAGTCAGATACCGGAATCCATTTGAAGTTACTGAAGTGCTAAATTTGAATTGAATTTCAGTAGCTGTTAGGAAGTAGCAAAGTAAAAGAGTTTCGCTATTGACACGGGATCTAATTAAATATATACCCTTCAATGTTGACTGCCTCAATAAGTGTTAGCTCTCGGCTTTAAAATGGTTTTACCACACCATAACTGAACAAACTAATTAGTGGTAATAAAGTGCTGATCCTTAAGGTTCCGGTGTTCGTGTCTGTAGTATATAACGCTAGAATCTCGACTGATATTTGTTACGTGTGATAACCAACTCCTTTTCATTAACCATCCGACTGCTCTTTCTGTTAGTTTTTGTAGTACAATTCATGGATTTTTTATTTCTGCAGAATCAATTCTAGACTCACTTTAAATTTGTAGAGTTAATCCAGCTACATGCTGCAAGACCTGGAAAACCATGAAGAGGCTGCCCGTAAGACTAGGTGGAAACACTGTCTTCGACTGGTCGCTGCATACCTTTTCTCCGACGTCGGTGTCTGCGGACTGGCAGTGAGCTACGCCATGCTGGGCGCCTTAGTATTTGAGGCACTAGAAACTCGCCACGAACTGGCTGAGCGAGAGCACGTACGACAGCATCGAGCAGACTGTATGAGGGATTTATGGAGGATCACTAACAAGCTGAACGTACTCTACGAGGCGAACTGGACCCTTGCAGTTGGCGGGAGACTCCGAGAATTCGAACAAACTGTAGTCAACGCGGTGAGGAATGAGGGGTACGATGGAAGAGAAGTGGAAGCCTTAGAACTTCAGTGGTCTTTCCCAGGGGCACTACTGTACTCTCTAACAGTTATCACAACAATTGGTAAGTCCGTAGTTTCTACGAAAGTAACCCTATTTTTTTTTTTCTTTAGTTACGTTTTGAAAGCCCGAATAAACATTTAGTTAACACACTCAAGATATTTGGCCCAGTTGATATAGTGCTTTTAAGTTAGGTTAACTTATTTCGTCATTCTTTTTTGTT